TCTCACTCTCACTCTCACACACACTCTCACTCTCACTCTCACTCTCACACCTTCTGCGCATAATTTATTACGTTTGTGGTGTGCCAGTGCCGGAAAGAAGGCAGAAAAATTTACATTTTGTTTGGATTGCTTAAGCAACTCATAATTAGCAAGGCTGAGTATAAACAGCGCTGAGCTCACCCATGTTTTTCTTAACAAAGTCATTGGGGTTCAATTCTACTGAGGGACATTTTACATACAATTTAGGACCTGCTATTCGTACAGATTATTATTTTGTTTTTGCTCATTAGCATTTTGCCTGTTAGCCTGGTTGAATGCTTCTTGTTATTTGTCACTGGCGGCCGCCAAGGAGAGCCGAGTGGAGCCTTGTGAGTCAGGGTGATACTTCACGGGCAGGCTGAGATTTAATTAGTGAACGGTCAGGAGAGGATATGGCATCTCTCTTCTGCTGTGTGTTTTTGAGTGCGACTTACTGTTTTTCAACATCTTCCACCATGCGGTCAATGCCATCCTTTGTGGGGACATGGGTGCCGTGGATCAGGCTATTGGACGTGGGGTGGAAGTCCTCACCGCTGTGGAGCACCAGCAAAAGAATTAGAAATGCAGAACCACAGATAATAACCATTTTACCACGCTTAAACTGACTTCTCTATTCCATCATTGTGATTATGGTCATCCTAACAGGGGATGAGGATTTGGTTTCAGGGCATGATGCGTCGGTGTATCCTTCACGGTCCTGCGTACGTCAGCCCCTAAGGAGCCCTGAACTCTTCTTGGACCTTAGCGTGCATGCACTTTAAAATCTTGTATTATTATTTCAGGAGGGTGGGGCTATGTCGACACTAACCCCGGGGCAAATGAGGGGGTACAAGTTATCATATAGAATATGCTTTGTGCACATGTGATGGGTGAATCCTGAGATGATTACACCAAGCAAATTGTTACAATTCATTTTACTTGATGAGAAATTTCACAGTTACGGTCTTTAAAGCAGAGACATCCTCATGTATCATTTTTATGACCCTGTTAATAGGAATGCACAAAGATCTAGTAATGCCAGAGGCCAATTCTTTTTCCCATGTTGAGCTGTCTGTCTATTTGGACAAAGTATAAAAAGACACAAATACAGTACTGTGACCGCAAAGGAAGATGGGACAGAGGCTAAACTCACCATTCCTCCCTCTGCTTCTCGTAGCTATCCAGGTCTGGTCTGATTTGCTTGGTGAGCCTTTGGTACTGTCTGAACTGGGCCTCGGCATAACCTGCAGTCCATTGTGTGAGACGGAGAGAGAGAGAAAAAAAAACAAAAAAAAAAAAACGGACTGAGTTATAATTACCGGAACAAACAGCAAGCAGGCACGAGGCTC